CCATGTTTTGTATTAGTGGCCTTGTGCTGGCAAATCTCGAGCCTTCGTTCATCGTTAGAGTACTTGGTACATAAGTATACAAATTCAAAATAGAAAACTGCTAGTTTACTGGATTTTCCTTTTCACTAAAAAATCGGAATTTCGCGAAGCTCATAACTCGGCTAGGTCATGTAATTTGTATCCATTAAGCCTTTGAGTTATCCGAGGAATGGCTGTATATATGTGTATATCTACATTACAATGATCGACATGGTAATGGCGACATGTTGCAATTAAAGCGGGGTCTTTTTTAAAGCTTATGCTCCAGGTACAACTTTTTCTCTCTCTGTGCTATCTCCTAAAACATAGAATATCTTAACGACGTTATGTTCTATTCGAAATTAAGTACAGGTGCATTGTTGTCTACAGGTATACATACTGCACATATTTATATAAATTTCAACAATTACAATGGTGGGTGGGTGCACCCATACTTTATCTTCCTTCCCCTTTGATTCTTGCCATGATCAACGCCTGATACAACATCGAGCATGGCTTGATCTAAATCCTTCTCCCCCAAGTGGCACTTGCTCGACTCATACACGTGGTACAAGTTGATACGCACAATGTCAAGGACGACACTTCACATATGAGCCATCAGCTCTTGCTCATTCTACAATGTGACACTCAGCAGATGATTCGACGTGGTAAGCGTTAAGATAAACACTTTCCTCCATTTCCATATAAAGGTAGGTCAAAACTGAACCAAAATAAACATCCATCAGGTGTGCAAATTGTCAGCAGATACATCGTAAAGCTTCAAACCACAAGTAACGATTCCCGTATACACTTTTGCGAGCTTGATTTACTCTAATCTTGTGGCAGAAGATGTAGCAGAGCTGTACAGCTCTTAGTCAAGGAAGGCTTACGACTCTAGAAGTCACTTAGTTCAACTTAAATAAATTCTTGTAATTTAGCCATTTCTTAATTAGAATGACCGGACAACGAAGACTCGTAGAATATTTATGCTCGCAGGGTGTTTAGTCCTGGTTCAGGGGACATAACGACTCTACGAATCGTACGCACTACGTACTCTAGAGTGCTCGCCACAAGAAGGATATTACTCGTAGCGATCTGCTGACGTCTCATCAAGACACGTGCCAACACGAGATGTAACGAGAAACGGTCCTTTTATTCCCGGACTTTGTCTGTAATACACCCCCTACAACTACCTAATACCTCGGTTTAACTAATTCTCGATGAAATCTTTGGTAACTAAGATACTGATATAGGTACATCAAACTATCATCAGTAGGCGACCGAGGTAATCAACAACAGTTATCAACACAGAAGAACTTGCGGGCTGTGTATCACATACACAAGGTATTTAAATTCCGAGCGGTAAAGGTCTTTGACCACGTTACATTAGGCCTCCACCGCAGACATGCTCGCCTTAATTCTGTGCACAATCAAGCAAGTTTTGCTCTTACAAGATGTTGAGCCCGCCATACTTCCTCAGCTTCATGCAGCTCTCGAGGCACTTCGTGGTCGTGGACGTCCATCACTATATAGGCTTGTCCTAGTTTTCTAAGGAAGGCACGGGTCCCTCTTCTGTTACAGTTTACAGCTCATACAGCATCAAAAGTCCTTAAGTCCTTACCATTAGTTGCTGCGGTGGCTGATGATCCTGCAATCTCCTTAAGGTCCACTTCAAACTCGTACCACATTGTACCAGCAGATTCCTTTTTCGCGCCGACAAACTCATTAAATTCCGGACGACAGATAGTTTTCTTGTGAGCATTCTGCGCTTGCTCTGAATTTGAGGAATCGTAAATTATAGTGGCCAAATTCTAGCTACAGGAATTGTACCACTTTCTGTAATTCGACTTCCGGGCCTCAAAATTTGGCCGGGCTTTAACATTGCGAATGGGGTACTTATACCCACGATTGTGACGAGTTTTTTGCTCTTCTTGCAGTCTTAAACACTGGGAGATGACAGAAGGAATAAAATTAATAGTACAAACAATTATAATTTCTTGACGGTGCGTAATAAGTCCAAGCAAAAATGATGGCCGTCAATCAATTCAGTTATTGGCTTGTACGTGCACATAGGGCATACTTTTCTTATTCGGTGATAGGATTATGTTTGTAGGGGTTAAAACACCAACTATCACATCACGAAAGAACAAATTGTTCTTATTGCACCTTTTGCAAAAAAGCATGTTTTGATTGCCGAATTTCAGCAAACACTTTATAGTTACTATTGGTCATATCAGGATCGACTTGTCAACCGGTGGTCATATTAAATTTAAGAGTCAGACATATTTTAATTAATAAAGCTGAAATAAATCTTGACTTAAAAAGCAAATATGTTTAAATAGCAATGAAAAGTATAATTAATCGCGGTATTGAAAATCAAGCAATTTATTGCTAGATTTTAGTCGGCAAAAAATGTCAAGGAAATCGATTAAAACACAATCACCCTTTTAATGAATACACAACCAAACGCACTGTTCGAAGTAATTATCTTTTATAAATTATTGGAACTTAGAGGTGCACACTGACCCATCGAAACACCCACACCCAGTCAACCTATTTAAATTAATTATCGTTGCGGTTCTCTTTCACTACTAATTATAAGATGCAGAACAAACAGAAAAGTATTACAAAGTATAAGAGCACTGCGATCCGGACCATGACTTCCCTTTCATGCTTGATACTCCCTCCGTTTAAACATGTTTGTCTCTTTCAGAAATTTAATATATAATTTAAATATCAACATAAGCTCATTTGTTAGAGCCAGGTAACCAAATGCACCTCAAATGAATCTAATTTTGTGCTCTTTCAGCTGGTGTTTATCACGGACTTTTTCAGTAGCCGCAAGCTGAGACTTAGCATTGGGGGAACTAATCATTTATGAAAAGTTCGACGCCTTGGTCGATTGCGATTCCTTGTAAGGCACTGCTTGTCGAGTGATAGGGCTTAAACAACAGCTTATAAAAGGCAATACCGCTATTTGTGCCCAGATTTCTAAATCGCCTGTACTAGATCGTTTTTACGTCTTAAATGCCTATTTTAGCTAAAACTCACGCTGATTTACCTCTGTAAAAAATGGAATTATAATCTGATATTATATAGTACTAGTTTAGAGCCTACCATACGATGGCTGGTATGTAAACGCAGTCTTTCTGCCTCTATAAATGTATTCCGAAAAAGCGGACACACAGTATATTACAAAAACGCTCGATTGGGGACAAAGACAATGAAACGGAGGGAGTAGCTGGCGTAAAAAACCAGACTGTAAAACGGTGGCATAGTAGGTATCCCGATGTTAAGACAACTAAAGATCAGCGTATGATCAACGAAAAGTAATCCATTGATGACTTTGCGCTAAAGATACATTGTACGAGCAGAAAGCAGCCCAAACCACGCATTATTGAGTCAATGGTGCGGTTATTCAGGCGCTATCAAAACAACACTACACACGCGACCCCAGTCAGCCGCGTTGCACAAAATTAATCAGCAGCAGCACACTTTGCCAGCTTTCCCAAGAGGGAAAGCAGCAAGTAAAAGCATGTTAAAACACCACACTGAACGCCCATGGAAAATACGATAGTCAGGGCCAGCGTGAATTCAAGCGGTGCTGTTCACTGCAGTATCCGAAGCCACACCGACCGTTTCGCTCAAAAGTGGGTGGTAGGTATTCCACACAGCATCGCAAGTACCTGATGCAATTGCGCCAGTATAAGACGCAAGCAATGCCGGGGTGATCCCGGACATTGTAAGTCCCATCAAGACGTTTCTAAAAACCTCTCCGTGTGGTCTTCGCGCCACTTTATCATGAGAAGCTCCAGTATCCGGGTCAAAAGCAACGGCTTCAGATCCGCCTTTAGAAACGTCAACCCAATCAGTGTGAACATGATTGCTCCAAGCACCCTGCAACCATCGCCACGACATTAGTTTATCAGCAGTCAGTTCCCGTAACTCATTTATTACCCAGTCACATCTACGTACTCGGACACTGGTAGTAAAAACTCGGCACCAGCCAAAAACCTGCCACTCCCAGAACGCGACACTTTGGCTATGGCTCCACCCACAATAATTGTCAGTTACGCCGGACACTTCCCTTGTATACCCAACTTGAGTACCATCGCTGACGTGGGTCCAGCAAAGGGTGCATATCCCAAAAACCACACAATAAAAGCCCTCGCCCAGCAGCAGCAGTAGTCGCAGCCCCAGCGGCACATCTGACGTGGTCTCGGACAGCCTCAAATTGTCTCCAGCGTCCGTCGTCACGTCCCCCGGTTCTGCATCCATTCCCTCCACTCCTTCTTCATCATGATCGTTGCCTCTATCGGCTTCGGGTCCCACTGCAATGTCCGTGGGATGCTTTGGACCGACGTCTGATGATCAGTGGACGATCTCTGGAGACGGCGAGAGGGACGACCGAGAGAAGAGCAGAAACAGGAGAAAGAACGTAACGATCTTGATGATGACTTCGCCGTGATGCATTCAACCGTACGACACCCAGGTGTAGCACTAGCTGGGCTCTTGCGAGAGTAGCAGCATCGTCGGCTTGAGCTATGCATCTCAATTCTGCTTGAGTTTCGTAATCCGTCCTCTAACTTTTAATTCACCTGGTGTCATTTTGCTGCATCTCAGAAGTTGACTGGTCTTTTTTGCTGTATTGCAGAAGGTGAGTGGTCTTTTTTGCTTTATCGCAGAAGCTGGCTAGTCTTTTTTGCTGAATCTCAGAAGCTGATTAGACTCACAGATCAAAATGACAAGTGGCAGTTTTATTTCTTAGCTTAGCTTGCGACGTAGAACCTCACACATCGTCAAGATCATCCATAGGAGCTGAGAGTTTCAATTTGTGATGCAACTATGCAGCAGCATTGGCGCGGATTGAGGTGTCGCCAATCACGCTTTAGTTGTAAGTGTAAGATCTACATACATTAAAATAACAGCGTCTGCTAGTTTTCTCCTACCTCCCCAGTAACTAGTTGACCACGACAATAAGCTCAAGTGGCAACCGCCGCCGTATCCGATCCCTTGGCGGCAAAAATGATTCCCATCAGGGCAATGAAGACGAGCACCGTGAAAATGCAAATGGTTATCAGCTTGATCCGCGAGCATGCACACCAATTCCTGCGCTGCTCTGCCTGCCGCACCTCCTCCAATGCCTTCTCTACGTTGTCCTTGGCCGTGTCGGTGTTTTCCACGATATCCACCACCATCTCCGCTTGGTCCTGCACGAGCCCGTCAATCTCCTGGAAAGCCGCATTCACCTCACGCAGCTGGTGATTGATCTGGATTATGTCGTCCTCTCGCCGCTGCATATCTACACAAGCCAAACAAAAGACCAGTAACACCACGTGTCAACTCCACTTACTCCAGCAAACACAAGCAGAGCGAAAAGAGCGCGCACCATCTTCGTCGTAAATGACCACATTAGCTTGAGCGTAGATCTGGTCTTCACTGTAGTTCGTAAACTCGGCCTCGCCACGTGGCTTAGGTCCATCGCCCCGTGACTTGCGTCCGTCTCCACCTCGAAAACTCTGCGACGAGCGACGGATGAACTCTACCGACTGTCGCTCCGACTCGAGCAGTCGCTCACAGGTTTCTTCAAACACACGTGCCTGGTTCTTAAAGTCAGCCGAGAGTTTGTTCACTTGCGTTCGACGCGTGCGGCCGCTCGGGCCTTTGGCGCCTCGACTGAGCTCCTGCAGTCGACGGTTGATCTTGGCCACGATCTTGTTGCCCTTCTCGGTCAGCTCCTTGATCTGCGCGTGATTCGCGCGCGAGTCCTGCGGTGTCCCAAACAAGGACATTTTCTGTGCAATGCTGCGCGTAAGCTGATTAAAGCTGGAAATGCCCTTGCTGGTCTCCGAGACAAGTTTGCTAAAGCGCTCGTCCGAGACGCTGCCATCGCTATTGCGCGGTGACTGCGAGCTGTGGTAGCGATCGCCCATTGCGTCGAGAGACAGAGAGAGAGGGAGGAGAAACGAAGAGTGGTGACGAGAGAGAGCCGAGCCAACCGGCGTCGGAGGAGCAAGAGCTGGAGTGGCAACAACAACAATCCAGTCAGTGTGGTAACCCCAAGAGCATGATGGACGGTTCTTTGCCAGGAATAACCTGTGCAACTTGATACTGACTTGATGCAGAGGGCTTGGAAAATGTTGTCTTGAATGGTAGCTGAGAGGGAAAAGGGGTCTCGATCGAGCGCAGGCATTACTTACGGTGTCACAACGTCGTGATACAGTCGTCGTTTGAGGGAAAAGGGCACTGGCGGGGGTTCTGTCACGTTGCGCTCGCAGCAACTCGACGTTGTTGTGATATCACGCACGACGGCAGCAACGTATCGGTGTTGAATCCAGCTTTCTAGTGGACTGACGATGGAACAAATGTCATCTGCGCTTCGATGCGTCAACGGGATTACTGGAGAACCACGCGCTGGTCGACAGCGTGCGGTCCAATTGAAAAGCGCGTGATGTGCACAGCTGTGGGCAGCGTCAAATGTGAACGTCTTTGAGGTAAGCTTTGTTTGACCTTTTTGCGGGCAGCTAGCCTCGCCATCTTGACGAGCATCACGCAGCAAATTTCCTTTGATTTGATGCATCAATGCGGCTTTGCTCCACAGAAAATCTGCTGCGACGGGTGTCAACATTCTTACCTCCACTAAGAGGATTGATTGTTAGGGACAACCGTCGTGACATTGTCACGTCAACCGTTCGCATCGGCGGGACGGCAACAATATAGCGTGAGCAAAAAAGGTGGTTCGACTCCGTTCGTTGCTGTGAACACCAAGACTGAATACCGGAAAATCGGCCTTTGCCAGTTGGATGCCATCGCAACTCGCGAACCGCAGTCACTCCAGTATGTGAAGCCTGACTCCACGCATGTCTAGATCTATGCATTCATGAACCAAAGGTACGTCCGGCTCCGGAATCAGCTGCAACAAGTTGATGCATTTGGCGCTAATATTCTAGCTCAGGACTCTTCCGACATCGTGTACGCACTGACTCGTAAAAAGGCGATCATGAAACCCCTCCTCCTCCTCTACAAGAAAGACGGTTTGGTTAGGTCAGTTGTGAAGAAAAGTGTATGCAGTGCTTGACCGATCTACAATCGACTGTAACGGTTACCTCCGTTACGATTTCGGTGCATGATAGACACTCTTGATTGGGCAGCGAATCGATGCGGTAGGGACTGCTGCAAGATCGATCGACTCTCACAGTAGGCTCTTCTTACTTAATCACAACGTTTGGCGCGAGCATCGTTTTGGTTTTGACCAATGATATCGTATGGGTTCAGCGTTAGGGTTTTGTATCCGCTAAAGTACGATAGCTTGGACCCACCCGTGTCTGTCTGTACAAAACGGGAGAAAAACTTCCAGAAGTCCCTGATGTTGCAACTGCTCGACTTACGAAACGCCTGGTTAGTTGTCCATTGCGAGGGATCGCGCGAGCTTTCTTCCACATTGCCCTCATTTCCCTTTCGTAACAGAAAGCAGCAGAGCTACAGAGTCAAAAGTCCGAGGGAGGAAGCGCGTTTCGTAAACCATGGCTTTAAAACGGATCAACAAGGAGCTACAGGACTTGGGACGCGACCCGCCCGCGAACTGCAGCGCCGGCCCTGTGGGCGACGACCTGTTTCACTGGCAGGCGACGATTATGGGCCCCGAAGACAGCCCGTACTCGGGCGGAGTCTACTTTCTGAACATATACTTCCCCGCGGACTACCCGTTTAAGCCGCCCAAAGTGAACTTCACGACGCGCATTTACCATTGCAACATCAACGCGAACGGCGGCATTTGTCTGGACATTCTCAAGGACCAGTGGAGCCCGGCGCTCACCATCTCGAAGGTGCTTCTCTCGATCTGTTCGCTGTTGACGGACGCCAACCCGGACGACCCGCTGGTGCCGGAGATCGCGCAAATTTATAGAACAGACCGCGCGCGCCATGACGCCACTGCCCGTGAATGGACCGCCAAGTACGCCACTTAGAGCACACTAGGAGAGTAGGGAGAGTTGCCGGTCTGTCCACGTGTCTGGTCTCTGCCGACAGACAGACGGGCAGGCGACTGTTGGCCAGATGCTTGGATCGATCGACCGCTAGCGAGGTAGCTAGCTGCGCCGCACACAGTGATGTAGTGGTAGCTGGTGTAGCTGCTGTCGTAGGGCAGAGGCGAGGCAGGGGCCGTGGACAGTGTCGGTAACGAGCACGAAGAAAAATATGCAAGCACGCGAACATTCAGTCTGGGTTCTTCTTGTCTATTCGCGTACATTCGAGTCAGGTGGTGTGGTGAGCGCGGTCGGGACCGATCGAGCGGGCTCCATGGTCCCTTCTTTTTCTTATGATGGAGACAAAGGGAGCGAGAAAGCGATTTTCCGATGGCGGACGACGTACTGAGCTCAGTGTCGACGTGACGTGACGCTGCACTTCCTCTCCCTCTCTGCTCGACACCGACTTTTGCAGCCATCTCTCCCTTTTTGCATCTCGGAAATAGTGGTCGCTGATCTCTTACGATGGGGTGATGTGTGATGTGCGCCACACTACACACGCACGTTCTCCATCATGGACGAGTTCTGCAGCTGGTGCAAGTCGCGACGCTGGTCTTACCGATGTGGGACGTGCGACCCCGGGACAGAAAAGACCTTGTGCGCTAACTGCTCGACTCTGTGGCACTCACGCGGCATTGCGCGTAGTCATCAACTCACGACCAGCGACGGACGAACGCAATCGTTTAGTGCCTGGACGACTTCATCGCCGCATGACGTCGACACGCGTAACGGCAGCGCAGAGGCAGAGGCAAGAGCAGATGAAGGTGTTGCAAGAGGTTTGAATGGGGATCGAGCTCAGGAGGCTTCGGTGGGATACGCAGATGATGTTGAAGTAGCCGTTGCAGGGGGAGAAGTGGCTGTGGAGAATGCAACAATTGCAATGGAAAGCGTCGTGGAGGGTACGGATGTGGATAATTGTGTGGAGGAAAATGAGGAGTGTGATATGGCGAGTGGTGCGGAACGTAGTCGAGAAGACGGCGACGATGCGAGCAAAGAGAGGATGGAGTTTGAGGAGAAGGTGGCGATCGCAGCTGCTGCAGAAGTGGTCAGAGAAGTTAACATCGATTTGGAATTGAAAGAAACAATGGAAACCACCGATCAGAACGGGCAAGAGTTGATGGAGTCACGTGGCTACGATGCCGAGACCGATCCGGTGGTTCCGACAACTTTAGCCGCCCCCGCGCTCTCTCCTGCTCCGCCTTCTACTCTTGTTGTTGATACCGATGACGTACATGAAGCAGCTAGACCTATCCTGGATGAAGATCCCTCGACTTTGGCGGCTGCAACCCCCGTAAATAGTCCAGAAACGATGTTAAAGCCTCCAGAGTATATCCGCACTGTTGCTCCTGCTACCAGTCCGACTTCAGAGCGAATATTAAATTCTGCAAGTGCAACCCTTCAGCTGAAGCCTGTGGATCTCGAGAAACTGCTGCGGTGGTTTCCCACAACCGACCGCGTGTTGACGGAGATGCTGGCAACGCACATCGAGAAAGCCCTTCGGATTGAGGATGCGCTTATCTGCGCACGGATTGGAAAATGCGAAGAAAAGTCGTGTCGTTCTGTGCTCCTTCACTACGAGCATTGCAAAACTGACGTGAGTTGTGGCGATCCGAAGTGTGCCGAGTTAGCAACCGTTTATCGGCATTGTTGCGCTTGTGGGATGAGAGGCACCGGTAGTTTAAGTTTTGTATGTCCGTTTTGCATTCGCATTTGTCAACGGCGAAGTATGGGTGTCAGTTCGGCGCTTGATTATCTCATCAATGATCAACGTCGTGCACTCCAGAGTGTGCACAGTGAAGCAAGCCGCAGCTTTCGTTTACAAAGCATCGATGCGTGGCAAGAGCGCAAGCGGACTCTCCGGGTTGAAACGGACCGACTGAATCAATTAGCTAGCGAAAGCAGCGCCCCAATTTACAATTTTCCAAGGTACCAGTGGCATTTCAATGACACCGCGTTTATTAAACGAGAACTGATGCCAGTAAAGACCCAAGCGAAGGTTCCTGCTTTTGATATGCAAGCAGCCAGTTTGAGTGAATCTGCAGCAACAGAGCTACCGTCTTCGGCTCCAGCAGAAGGCGGAAATTATTGTGAGTCAGGTATGTATTTCTTTGCCTTGAGCACTCACTCGCGATGATCGTTTGTGGTTTGCGCATGAACTGTAAAATGCTGGGTTGTTACTGCGATTATAGGCATCGCTGGAATACGGCAGAATCCCGGTGGGATTCAAGATGCGGGACATGTAAACACCGGTGCAGATTCCATTAGCGCGCTACTTCGAGCGAAAAGCAAAGATGGAGAGGGCAGAGAAGTGTCACAGCGAGAGTTTGACAAAATTACGGAACAGGGTTACGCCATTGTGGACGCCTCATTTTGCGTCCCGTCCAATGCACAGCGGTGTCTTCTCAACTGCAAGTCGATCCTTGCGCACCTGCAACACCACTTCAATCTGCAGGTGTGCAGCCATCCGCTATGTGCCAAGGTGAAGCACCACTTCGCGCACTTGTCGCAGTGCAAAGCTCGTGGGGAAATAGAGTCCTGCGAATATTGTTTACGTGTAGAGGAACGCCGTCTGGTCCGATCTGTGAATCGCATGGAGGCGGAGCAGCACAAGGCTGAAGCGATGGTGCAGAGGATCATTGGCGATCTCACATCCTCGTTTACAAACGACCGGCCTGATCGACGAGAGCAAGAGACAATACAACTGGAAGGCGAACTGGACCAAGCTGTGGCCAGCAAGCAAAAGTTGCTGGACAACCTTCGCGCTACGAGCGCCGACCTTCGAAAGACGCGCAGAAGCATGGAGCGTCATGGCGTGTTACCTGGCGCTAGTCACCATCTCCCAGTGCACTTTGGTGGTACAAGGAGCGCCAGAACATCGGATGACAGCTTCAAAAAGCGGCGTTTGATTGACTCTCTAGATTTGAAACCAGCAGCTACAGGTAGTGTCAGAAAAAATGATCAGCACTGAGCACAATATAAATACGCAAGTTGCACAACACCAAAGTCAGATTAACGTCGTTCGACATGCAACATCGTGGACGATGAAATGTTATGCTGCATTGGTCCTGCAGCTTACAGAATGGTAGATCAAAAGCTGCTGCAGCACCAACCGGATTGGTCGCTGTTGCCTCCATTAGCAGTGCTCGTAGGGCGGAACGTATCGTGACGCTTCTTCGCCTCCGATTTCCGCTCGAAAATGTCTGGGTGCTTCAATACACCCACAACCAGCGCCTTGGCAGCTTCATCAATGTGGATGTTCTCCTTGGCTGACGTGTCAAACCATCCCGCGAAATTGTTCGTCGCACAAAACTCGTCCAGAAATTCTCGGTCCACATCTTCTTTTAAGTCGCACTGCAAAACGCAACCACCACCACATCAACAATTACCATCACAACCACCAGTGTCTCGTATTGCAGCAGCACCAGCTTGCAATGCAATACAATTCAAGAGGCACTCTTCGTAAATTTTTACCTTGTTGCCGCATAGAATAACCGGCAGCGGTTTGCCATTAGGCAACTCCACCTTCGAATCAATCTCTTTCTTCCACTACATCGCCACCAGCACGATAGATCACCAAACAATGAGCACCAAACCATCAACAACAGCACATTCTGTCCCCCCCATTTTTCGCCTCCCTCTCGTTACCTTTAAAATGCTGTCAAACGTTTCCGGGCGCGACATGTCGTACACGAGCAGCGCTCCCAGCGCGTCCTTATAGTAGACGCGATTCAGCGCACGAAAGTGCTCCTGGCCAGCAATGTCCCACAGCTGCAGTCGCACAGTCGTTCCAGACACTGTCACTGCCTTCAGCGCAAAGTCGACGCCAATCGTCGTGCGGTGGTGCTCGGTAAAAACGTCGTGCACATATCTGATTCACCATCAACCGGTCAATCAGTAGTCTCCCCTTCATCAGCTCAAGTCAAGAGAAACAAACTGTACCGCTTGATAACACTCGTTTTCCCCGTAGCTGCATCGCCTAGCACCAACACCTTGATCACCGCGTCCTGCGCTGCGTTCTCTCGACGCTCAGTCATCCCGATCGAACAGGATCGATCACAACTCGATAGCGGTCTGAGAATACCAAGGTCAGATCGTTGTGTGCACCACACACGCTACGAAACCCACGCCCGGTACGTTGACCACATTATTTACGTCAACCACACAAGTGATGTACCCGTACGCTCCGACTACGTACGATATCGTCACTTTTGAAGTCGCACACACACACTCGACATGAGCGACGACGTCGTGCGCGTTCATCTCCGCACGCGTCCTCGCCGCCGCAGTCGCAGCAGCAATGCGGTATTGAGCACGTTACCTTCTGCATCTTCTCCTACTGCTGCTACTGGCAATATGCGCGCTGATCGCAGTGCAAGCTATGAAGAAGCGCCGCATACGTCGCTCTTGTCTCGCGACGTCGTCGAGCTCCGACGTTGTACGTCAGCAGAAGCCATTGTAGGCAGCTCAAGACGTCTCAGTCGCTCAGGATTTTACCCATTCGGCCAAAATGTTCAAGAAAGCGCTTCGCATCAATTGCACAAGAGCACGGGTCCGCGGTTTCATGCGGGCGCAAGCGCTCCGGCGTCTTCTTCCGCATCACTGCGGGGCCACGCAAGCTTCTCGATGGACGATGTGAAATCAGCCAATGAGTCGCTGGATGAAGACAGTGTTTGTGGTGTTGATTTTGATGCTGCTGATGGTGGTGGTGGTAGAGCGACGAGTTTGGAGGATCGAAATACCGTGGCTGATGGTGGACGACTTACAAGGAATATGCTGGGAGATTCTACTAATGGGAGGAAGAGCAGTGGTACTGAAAGGTTTCGAAGAGCTTGTACGTTGTAGAGTAGGAGAAGAGGGGGTTGCAAAGAGGTTGTCGAGATGCTGATCTCATGCATTGTTCTGTTGTTGGTCTGTTTATACTGGTTTTGAACAACTAGCGTCGCTGGACGCAAGTCCGCCGTTACCTCCAGACAGCACGATATCGGCAGAGGAAGTGATTCGTGAGAGCTTGGCGAGTGCACTGAACTCGTCGTTGTATACGGACAAGGATGATTTTCGATTGCCCCATCAACGACGGTCGCATGCAGTGGGTAATGGGACGTTTACATTCATTGATCGGGATTCGTTTGCCATGTCAAAGCGATCGCGGGACAGTTTAGCCTTCTCGTTCTCGAGTCGTAGTACGTTTCGACGGAGTACTATATCGGAGTTGATGCTGTATGAGACGGATCTGTTTGAACCGGAGCGTGAGCTGAGTGCTCGAGAGCTTTCTGAAGTGCTGAGCGGGTCAGATGACGATGTCAATGCTTACGAAGTTACGAGTATAAAGGAGGAAGAGGAGGGTATCAAGCTCGAGAATGCCAAGTCTCGCTGGGCACAGCACGTCAAATTAAAGGCACGGGGTTTTCTGAATGCAACAGTAGCTGGCAGCAAACATGGAACATCTAGCGAAAGCAGCGGTGGTGGTGACATGACACCGACTGCGCCAACGTCGGCAGAGATCTGGGCGAACAAGCAGAAGCAGATACTCGCGCAAATAAGTAATGGTAGTGGATACGCTGTGCTCTCTTCGTCTACAAACCGTCATTCTTTGCTGCCCCCGCTACCGTCGTTTGGACCAGCAGCACATGGTGGCGCCAAGTTTCAGAAGTGGAACCGATGGATGCATGATCGATATCAGCACAATTTCGGCAAAGTAATACAGCGTGCCTATAAGGACGGAGTTCTGCAACGGGAGCAACAGCAATTTGCGTTTCCACCACACCAGCCGATTCCTGACCCAACTACTCTTATTTCCATTGAAGAAGTCATCAGCAACCCACGAATGATGCGCTACTATGCCGCATGGCTTTCTGATCCTGCGGATCAGAGTAAGTTGTTCTTCCTCTGTTCATTTGAGGAGTATCGTCAATTTTGGTGTACGTTGCGTGCTAACAACCAGCGACAGCCTCTTGCGAAAGACGATGTGCTAATGTTACGCACGTACGGTGTCAAGATCGCGATGAAGTATCTGGCGAAAAATGCCCAGTTTCCGATCAATGGTCCTGCTAGTGCTGACACCGTAGAGGATGGCAGTGACGAGCCACCGCTTGTGGAACCTAACAGGTTGCGCTCCATCAAACGCGATCTAGCGGCCGGGGGTGAAGATGCACTTCGCACGTTTGATGATGTTGCCGTGAAAGTGAAACGATTACTAATGTTTAAGTTTCCTGAGTTTCGTAAAACGGAGCTTTATGCTGAGATGCAGAAGACAGTGGAGCGTGAAGTCATTTGCCTTGAGGACATACTGATGAACCACCGGTTTGGTAACTTTTTCTGGATTTTTTTGTTCCCGCACAACTACCACCGCGAGATTGCATTGTGGCTGGATGTCGAATACGAGTTTAAACCGGCGTTTCGCATATATATGTCGATGCTCAAGGCTAGCAGCAGTTCTCGAAGTGCTGCATCATCTAGTAGCAACCAGCGCCGCGAGCGCATTGAGCAGTCCGCGTACCGCTGCAGGAGGTTGCTCAAGTACATTTCGCAAAAATACTATGCTGGAGACGCTGAAATGCAGACTTTGTCGCGCACACTGGTGACATCCTGTGCTCGGCTTCAGGCAGAGCAAGACGCGATCTTGACAAGATTTAGTCTCATTCATCTGGAGTTGTATCATCGCTTTCTGACAAGCCGTGCTTACGCTGAATTCTCGCTATATCCAAAACTATCGTCTGAAGACGAGAAAGACTCTATCGATGATTTCATGCGACTCTCGGCCCTGCTGTTGAGTTATGGTTTGCGTGCACATCATTGGGCTGGTGGCAGCTCAAGCTCTTCGTCGTCGCCGTCCAGTACGCGCGAAGCTGATGCAACAACACCGAAGAAGAAAACTCTTGACTCACTGCGTACAGCGCAAAGCTTTGACGCTGTGTCGGGCGTGCTCACTTTCGAAGCTGTATCTGTGCCGCTGATGGATGAAGAAGCAGAATATGGCGCTGACAACGGCGGTGGATTTGAAGACCCGATCGAACTGCACATTGTACAGCATCAGCTGCCGCATGACCCAGCAATACACGTTGTGGACAAATCAATCGAGAATTTCCTTGTTCCTTGGTGTGCAGACCCTAGGCATGTGGTTGTTACAGCTTCGTCTTGTCCAGCACCTCTTGCGTTCAACTTTCGCATGGGCGACAGTAGTGCTGGCGCCTCGGCTGCTGAGTTCTTTGCGGCTTGCATTGTTTTGTACAAACCAGCACCACCATTATCGCGGCGGGTACTGGAGACATCCCGAATAGCTATTTCAAGTAGTTGCCGATGGGTGCCTTACGGAGTATGTGTGTTGTCAAAGTTTCCAATGGTGGATCTCCTGCGAGAGCGTCTTGCAGAAGCGTACGAGTACATTCTTGAGCTGGAGACTATCGCTGCTGCTACTACTCCAAACATTGACGCCGACAGCTCAACGACAATCCGAAATGGTGGACAAGGTTTTCAGCTGGACAAGAGGGTGCTTGCCAAGTTAACCCGAGCTGTCTCAAAGGAACACATTTCACAATACCACAAACCATCACCATTGCCGGAGTCCCCGCTACTCGAATCCTCCGGCTTGGTTCCGAAAGCCACAGCCGCATCACTGCTTGCATCTCTTCCACGTTTGGACCACTCTGTCCGTCTACTGTTCGACACGTTGGATGTGTCCACCGTTCTCCTTGTCTTCACTGCGGCCTTATTGGAGAATCGGATTTTGCTGGTGTCCTCGTATTTATCAGTGCTCATGAAGGTTGCGGAATCTCTGCGAGCACTCATGCACCCCCTGTCCTGGCCTCACGTGTACCTTCCTGTTCTTCCACGTCGAATGCTACAGTATCTCGAGTGTCCGACGCCTTTCATCTTCGGTGCTGAAAAGCAAGCACTGGACGACGCGCAACACCAAGTTATTGAGGAGGGTGGTGATGATCTTTTTGCCGGAGCCGGTGAGGAGTTGTTGGTTGTGGACTTGGACAAGGGGGCTGTTTTACGTGGAGAAGTACCCTGTGCTCTTCCCGATAGTGTACGCTTTGGTCTGCGCGACGCACTTTATGAGTGTCTGAAACCAAACGTGAGTCGCAGTGACCATGTGTTTGCACATCACTTCCCGAGTAAGCCTCTGGTGTTTCCGGAGATTGCCGTCCGGGGGCTGTTCTTACGGACTATCAATAAGCTGATCGGCGACTTTGGCTACCATCGATACGTTTGGACGGATGAGTTCGCGCGTAAGCGGACTGTCTTCTTTGACGAGGCCAGCTACCTCGCGGCTTCCACACCTGAGATGCGCGACTTCCGAATACTGTTTATTGCTACGCAGGCCTTTTCCGAATTCATGGTCACACATCACGGCTTCGAGGAACAACCAGGCCAGTCCAAAATCACTTCGGGGCCCTTCGGATCGTCTTCCTCGACATCGTCTACGACGTCTTCTTCCTCGGTGTCATCCCTGCCCCAGTAATAAGCCAGGCATTCCTCGATGGTTTTGCGTGAGTGCTGAGTAGCCCGGATGGTAGAACTTGTATGTACGTGATGTTTGCGCTCCTCATCTTCTCTGTTGTTGTGACTCTTGTCTGCTCAGCTTTGTGTGTAGCGCTTGGATTTACTTACCTACGACCGAGCACGGATGCTAAGAACGTGGTGGCTCCTAGAATTCCAAAGATCGTTATAGAAGCTGTGAAAGGTGACATCCATGAGCTCACCCGATGTGGCACATTCGCCGGAGCTGTACTGGGAACAACAGGTGGCAGTTGCTGACATTGATGATGGCGTGCCAATTCCTTGTCCATTATAGTATAAAGAATGGCAGCTACGCGACGACCGCTGTGCTTCAGCATAGGTGCCTTTTTCCATTCGCGAGGCACTTGCCCCACAACAAGATCGTCTTGAAACGTTCGGCCTTGAAGCAAAACAGGATGCTCACGAGCCGCCATTTCGGGCGTTGGCAGCAACAATTCCTCTCCGCGCTCAAGGTACGGCGCAAGAACATCTTCGGGTGGAAAAGCGTTGTTTGCAATCACGTAGTCGACAACGTTTGCTCCTAGGTAAGTCGAAAGCACCTCCAGTGTTTTTTCTAGCGTGTAGCCGTCAGTCTGACCATTCTGCGTAGTTATATTGCTCACGTAGACAACTGCACCCGAGCTGTGTGCGATGGAATCACGAATTCCTGGCACCAAAAGCGTGGCAATGATCGATGTGTAGAAACCTCCGGGACTCAGGATGATGATGTCGGCCTCCTGTATGGCACGCACGGCAGGCTGAAAAGCTTGCACGCTCGGATTCTCGAGATACACACGTTTGATTGGCGCTTTCTTGATCTTCGTCACCTTTGAGTATCGAGGCTCAGAAGGCGTCGATGGCGAATCTCCAGTTGCACAACTAAGTGAAGAATTGGAATCTGGTTGAGGCTCGACCTCTGCATAACGCATGAACGGGCTGCGCACATTGACTTCTGAAACGGCCGTGGATCCGTCCATGAGCTCGGCACACAGCTCCGTGCTTTCGAGTGTGGCCGGCAGCACGGTACCATGGATGTTGAGGATATCAGCGATTGACGAGATGGCACGGTCGAACCCACCTTGCAGGTCGGTCAACGCTGCCAGTAGCAGGTTGCCCAAGCTACAACCGTCCATGAAGTTTTCACGAAAACGGTAGTTCATCAGTTTGCTCAAGAGCTCATCTAATCGTGCGCACACCAAAGACATCAGAGTTGAGGACCCGTTCGCAAGATGGCAGAGAAGCAACAAGGAGTACGAACCAGAGTCGGACAACGCCACTAGACAGTTGCGAATGTCTCCAGGTGGCAAAATGCCCAAATTTTTGCGAAGGGCACCAGAATGGCGACCCGAGTCAAACACTAGAGCACCATGCATCATAGCATCCGTTCAGTCACGAGGTCCATTGCAATGTTGCAGCAGTCAACCCCGATTTTGTTCACACTATGGAAATATGGTACCAACCTGTGACGACGGCTGTAAGGTCAGCTGGATAGTGACGCAGCTCCTTGAGCAGCACTGCGAGTCCCGTACCACCTCCAATAGCCACGATCTTGGGCTGCAGCATCTGCTGGTCTGCCAGCTTGACGACAGCTATCAGCTGCGCAATCGACTCAATCTATCCGTCGATCCCCGTAGCAGAAACAGCACACACAAGCACAGCACGAAAGCCATCAGTCTCCACGCAAGTGCCGATATCGCACGACACTGGGATCTATCTGTTCCCCACTTGAAAGTTTGGTTGCTCCATCTCGTCCGTCGGCATGACGCTCATGTACTTGCCAAACAACTAGAACCCCACCCCAACAACAAGAGCAGCAAAGAGGATCCACCCCACCCACACCTTTAGCACGATATCTCAATCAACCAACGCCTGGTTTCCATCGAACGTCAACAGTGCAGCACGTACCATGCGCACTGTGAGCATTCCAACAGCCTTTGCAGCCTTAATCTCGTAGAACACTTTGCGTCCTACGAACAGAACGGCCGATGACGGAACGTCCAGTTGACGCACCAGCTGCGTCATGGCACTCGTGACTTGAGTCAAGCTCGGGTTCGATTCCACATGCACGATTTCTTGAAAGAGGTCGTCAACTTGCAACGCTCGAAGACGTGCCTGCTGCACCTCTGGCTTGCCAATGAGCAGCAGCGCCAGGGAACGAGCGCCTCCATTTTGCAATTCCACGAGCGTCTCCCGGACGCCTGGGAACGGCTGGATCTCACGGGCGTCCAAGACGCTGCTCTCGTAGTAAGCCGCAATGACTCGTTGCGCTTGCGTTGTTGAGAGTTTCGCTTGGAAGCCGTGGACGAGACTGTCGACGAAACGGGGAAAGCGTTCGCGGAGGCCGAACGTCTTGCGGAACGTCTCGAGCGCTTGGACTGCAGCTGTGGCGGTCGGAAACGCGCCTTCGCTTTGCAATTGCGCGAGGCCGCGGTCGACTGCCAAGTGGGACAAGAGCGTCGAGTGGTCGTACAGCACGTCGTCCAGGATCATGGCCACAGCACGGACGCGGCGACAAGTGGACGAGGACATTGGATGGAGGACGGAGATGGTGATTGATGGACGGAAGGAAGGAGGGAAGGAAGGACGGGGAGGTTGGTCGAGGTGACTGTGGTGGTGGGGAAGGTCGATCTGACGCTTTTTCTTGGAAAGTATGATGTTGAAGCAGGAATGAACGAGGTGGACGTCTAGTGATCAAGCTGCGTCCAGGTTCATCAAGGAGGTGTGTTTCTTCAGTCTATCGGTCTGTCTATCGGTGCTGCAGCATTCGGAGTGCCATCGCTTCCTGGCTGGCGACAGCTTGACGATCGATCGTCGGCTTCTTGTCGTTATCGTCGTTATTGTCGTCGTCGTCGCTGCTGGTCTCGTCGTTGTGGTCGCTCTCGCTACGATTGCCACTCATGTCGTCATCATTGTCATCGTCCGAGTCCACTGCAAGACGTGGACCATTGTCGTCGCTATCGTCGTCTCGCTCGCCCTTGACTTGCATGCGCTTCTTGTGGTGCTTGGCACGCACGCGTTCCTTCTCAAGACGTCGATCCTTCGCGTCTTGAGCGGCTAGACGAGCAGCAACTTGCTCCGTGTACTCCTTGGCATGTTGCTCGACGTTAGTGAAGTCACTGCTGGTGCTGTTACGAGCGGCAAGACGGTCGGCGATCGTGCCGCTGTTGCCGTCTTCATCAAACACAATCTTGGACGTGTTAACGACCTCAGAGTCAACGCGCAGTCTCTTTTGCTTCTTCTGCTTGCGACGATCAAGTGCTTCCAGGTCCGGTGGCTCGTCATCGTCTGCCCAGTTGTGCACGCGCTTGACAACCATGAGCGAGTCTTTCTCCGCCTCGACTTCATCCAGCTCATTGTCTTCCTGATTCGTCTCCACCTTGTTGATCGCCTCCTCTTGTTCCTTCGGGTCCATTGTTGCAAGCTGCCGTGCCAAACGCTTGCGTGCTTTTTCCGCCTTTATCTTCTCCTTGAGCTGCTGCAGCTTACGATTGACATTCTTCTTCCCACGCAGCTCATCCCGCAGCGCCTCGTTCCCACCCTTTTCATGCTCCGCCTTCATTTTGGACAAGAAGGGCATCCGTGGTGCACCAGGAAGTCCTAGCGACTCGGCAAACGCGTCCAGCGGTAGAGCAGTAGCGTCAAACACCTCGCGGTCCGGCTGCAAGTACACTGAGCGCACATACGACATGAAAGCTTTCTGTGCCAGCGCTTTGATATCCTTGTCACCGGCAACGACCGACGCTACCTTTTGCCGACAGCTTGTGGTCTTGGCTGGATTGAGCTTCGTCTCACTGATGGGCACCTTGGCAGCCTCGAGACGCTTCAACATGCCGTCCACCTCGGACGGCACAAGACACATGAGCGCTTTTCCTTGCTTATTGTAACGCGCTGTACGACCGACTCGGTGAATGTAGTTAGCCGTGTCTTCAGGGCAGTCGAGCTGCAGCACCCAGTCAACCTGCGGGAAATCCAGCCCTCGCGCCGCGATATCCGTCGCAAACAATACAGCAGCCGGCTTGTTCAAAAACTCATAGTACACTTCCACACGCTTGCCCTGCTTGTACTTCCCGTGCAGCGCACAAAGTGGAATACCAGGCTGTAGCTTGCAAAAGACGCTATGCACATAGCGTACTTGACGACACGTGGACAAGAAAACAATCGTTTTCTGCTTCAAGTGCGACTTGATGAACGACAGCAACACATCCAATTTGCGTTCCAGTGGCGTCACCACGTAGCTCTGGGTGAGACCTTTAGGTGTCGCATTCGTCGAGTGCTCGTGCACGGCCACGTACTCGGGTTCACGCAGACTCAGGGCTGCCAGATCCTTCACCGACTTGGTCTGTGTGGCCGAAAAGAGCATGGTCTGTCGCTCTCCAGCAGGTGGCAAGTGCTCCAAGATGGCAGTCAATTGTTTCTGAAAACCGAGATCCAGAATCCTGTCTGCTTCGTCCAGTACCAGCACTTGCAAGTTGCTTGCATCAAACGCTGGTGTCTGTTCCATGTGCTGCAGCAGTCGACCAGGTGTACACACGAGCAGGTTCATCCGCACGAGACGAAGCTGCTCCTCCCGAAAGTTCTTGCCACCAATCACAAGACCAGCCGAGAACGTGTGGGCCTTGCCAACGTTGCGTAAAACTTCAAAGATCTGCAGTGCCAGTTCTCTGGTAGGTGAGATCACGAGTGCACCAAGTCCATCTTCTACACTCCAGCGAAGGCGGAACAGCTTCTCCAGCACAGGCAGCAGGAACGCCAGCGTCTTGCCTGAGCCCGTCTTGGCTGCAGCAAGCACGTCACGTCCTGCGAGCGCATGCGGCAGCGCACCCACTTGGATCTTGGTGGGCGTCACAAAGCCGCAGAGCCTCAGACCCCGCCGAGAATTCTCCGATAGTGGGAACAAGTCAAAACTCGTGGCGTCACCGAGCTGCGACCCACGAGCTGGAGTCTGTTCAGCGATGCGAGCTTCGAGACGCTCAATCTCCAGCCGCTCGCGCTCGTTCTGCTTGACGGCGGCATCAGCTGCGGCTACAGTAGAGACGTTGTTGCTGTTTCTGTTTCCCTTGTCGGCTTCGTGTCGGTCGATGGGCTTGGCGTGGATGTGCGCTTGACGGAACGCACGCGACGCCATGGAGCTCTCGGGAATGGCTGGTCTGGAAGCACTGGCGTTTCTATTACGTTTCTAACGGCGAGTGGCAACGATTTGTGCCACACAAAGGAATAGAAATCCAGCAGATGGGAAAATGTGACGAGGCGACAACTTCAATGTAAGCCAGTAAATACCGGTTTTTGTCGAGATATCAGCCTGACGCTGGCTCGCGATCGAGCTCGTACAGGAAGCACGAGACTCAATGGACTGATGATGCACGAAGGTACTAAAAAAGCAGAGCTTGTATGACCGATTCTAAGCTCGGATTGAAGTGGTTTGTTCCGTCTGAGGATCAAAATTGGAGGTTTTGGTACAAGCATTCGGTAGCCCAGCCAGTACTTAGACTCTGTTCACCGGTCACGAAGGGAGCTTACACTGATGGGTCGCGTCCTGGTTGGTCCATACTCTACATTGAGTCAGGTCGTGTGGATGATTGCTACCGCAATGTTATGCTCGGGTATTCTGTGTATGAATACGTGTCTCGTGGTCGTTTACCGTCGATGATGTAAACTCTGAAGAGGTGGACGGTAGCGGCTTCGGAGATCGTTCACAACATCAAAGAGCTGATGAGGCTTGCTCAGCTAGTGTTAATGGCATTTCTTTTGTCGACCGATGACGTTATTGGCGCTAGTGTCTGTCCGTCAATTGACCTGCTATCGTGCACAACCCAACCAGCTTAGATGTATCCGACCGCTGTGGCCTCTGCTTTTTCACGAATTTCGGTGTCGCTGAAGAAGCCTGGAGAGCATGGCGAAAAGAGCGTTTGAACTCTTCGACTAAAAGAGCTGTGCCTACATCAGCGGGAACGCAAGTTACTGCCATGGGTCCAGCTACTGCCGTGGGTCTAGTTGCTTGCGAAAGTGCACAAAGCTGGCAGAATTTCGCTTGGACGTCTTCGGATATGCTAGGCCATTCTAGACATCACTTTAATGCCTGCAGCAGGCTGAGCAACGAGTAAGCTCGAAAGGACAAAGGGATCACTCGTGCAGCAACTGTGCCAATCGAATGCTACGTACACATCGGCACATGGCTGAGTACACGCAACCTCGTTATTCCTACAACAAGAATAGAGCTGAGCACACGCTACAGTCGAGACATGTACAATGATAAACCTCTTTCGCGCAGTGACTCCTGTTGACAGCACTGCTCAATAACTACGCCACTGGTCACTTCATGTCCTGGTGTACGAGTATGCGGAGATATGCTTGGATCTAATCAAGATCAGGGAAGGAGGCAATGACTTGCGTCGGTTCACTCCAAGGTCTTGGTGATGGTACTTCGAGCATGGAACATCTTTTTGATTGCCAAAGCTGTACGCGATCCAACATGCCAAACCGATTGGCGTTACCGCCACGCACTGCTTTACCGCCAGCGTGACAACACTTGGGTACTCTTAGCGCTAACAATGGCACCGACATTGGTCTGGTCCGTGAGGGTGTCTTCAACAGCTCGAGCGCGTGCGTTCGAAAGCAGATCAGACAAAAGGTCTTCCATTTCCTCTTCGGCTTCTCGGGATACCACGATATGCATCAGCGTGCTGCGCAGAAATTCAGCGTCCAGTTGGATCTGTTGCAAGCCGAACTTCGACAATTCCAACAACCTCACCCACTCGCTGAAAGCTTTGATGCAAATTTTCAGCATGGACTGGACGAATGCGTCTGCACTGAGGTCAAGCTGGTGGGGGTAGGCATGGATTTTACGCGCAAATACCCGATCGACATTAAGCTGCATTCCCGACGGCGCTGCTACAATCCCTGCGTTGCGAGACCGCAGTGCACTGGCACGCCGGCGGAAGTCACGGCCATTTGAGCGACTGTTGTTCTCGATAAAAATACTTTGCTCATCTCCGAGTGCCATAGCAACTTCCTTCCCAAAGCGGACAGTGGTCTCTACCACTGCAGCCATCATTTCCTGCACAATCCTTGGCTCCTCATCCATGTCAGACCACGACGTAGCAGCCATTCCGTTGTAGATAATGGTACACAGCTGGTTAGCATACTTTTTTGCGACTTCCCGCAGCAGCTCTGCAGAAGATTCACGGGTTACTTCAATCACGTAGGTTGCGTCCTCCTGGCTTTCACGCCGATTGCAAAGCGGTCCACTTTCGGCGGTTCTCGACGGTAGTGAAATGGCCGACAAACACTCATTAACACTGCGCGCACACTCGCTAATACCCACATCTGACAACTCTTGGCACAAGCATGACAGAAACAGCAGAAACTGCGGAGTGGGCTCCAACCATGTTAGCGCCACAATTTTTTGTTCCTCCAATCGAATTCCAGACGGTCCATCTGGCTGAGCGAATGCACGCTTAGGCTCGGCGTACTGGAGCACTGATACGTTGAACCACTTTAAGAAAACACAGAATTGACCCTGGGTAAAACATAACATCGTGCAAGACTCGTTAAAAAACGACCGTGCTAGTTGTGCTGCTGGTAGACACTATGTTTCATCTTACCTGGACTAAATCACAAAAGAGCTGACTCAACTCAGGGAGAACCGAGAAGCCCATTTGCACCATGAGCCCCATTCGCTGCAAAACTTTCTGCATCATGTCCGTAAATATCCTCGCTGACTCCTGCGCTAACGGTCGAACGCTCTGTCCACCTGCGCGCGAGCTTCGTCCCAGACCGCACACTTTTTCGTAAGAAGTGACTAAAAAATCCCTAGTGTCTTCGCGTAGTGCCCGAAACACAACCTCAATCTGGTAGCGCACGCAGCTTTCCACAATTTCAGTAGCACCCTTAGCCAGTCCGCACATTGGAATACTTTTGTCCACGCTCTCCACTTGCGACGCAAAGCGCTTCATCACTCGCATGAAAACAAAGTACTCGCTTTCGGCAATGTCGGAGGAGAGATGATTTCCACGCGGTCCATCGAGGACTTCGTCTGCTGATCCCTGCACGGAGCAAAAAAAAGAAGTAAAATCATGTGAGCAAGGGCGAACATCTAGTTACTACAGGTGGTAAACTCACGAAATTTGTGTGCGGACGACGAAACTGCACGACGCATTCACCCAGATAGAGCGCAGATAGTTCTTTCACGAAGTTGAGAAACAAGTTATCTTGGACCGTATATGAAGGTGACAATTTCTCGCTTGCAACAGCCTCGGGTATAAAGTGAATCTTGTACACCAAAAACACTCGACTCATTCTCGATAAAACTTCTGCGTTGAATCGTTGAAGGAAGACTGATACTGAATCAGCCTTGCTTTGAGTCTGTAATGAGGAAGCAAAACGATCGGATAGATGAACGGCTACATCCAGGAATGAAAGCAGCAGTGATGCTAACTATGTACCTTAAACTCTGCCACTATACGCGTAAAGAACGCGCGGTGCCATGCGACAAACTGGCCTCGAATCTCGTCGTTGCAGACATCGAGTTGATGTAGAAGCTCCACTGTCTCGCAAAGCTGTTCACAGCAACCAACACTTTTAGGTTAACTCCAACGTAATCATCCTGAAGCAAACCAGCTCTACCTCCTCCGACTCGATTGTCGTGTCACGCATTCGCTCCTTAAGCATACTTTTAAGTAGCTGGATCGGCTTTTTGGTTTCTACTTGAATTGTCTGCAACGAGAGAGCCTTATTGTAATTGCTGGTACATCATCAATAAAGCAGTACTAGACAGTGTCACCTTAAACGCCGAAATATGATCGTATCTCTGCAGAATCTGGTGCGCAAGTTGATAATACTTGACAGCGTTCGTATACTCCTTTTGCTTGACAGCACTGCATTTCACCTCAAATTCAGCATCTCTCAGTTTTAATCAATGCATGCGTAGACCCGCTGTAACGTACGAGCTGAGCTTCTGAGGCAGCTCGAAAAGAAACTCGAATTTCTTCAGCAAGCGTCGCACGCCAATGAGTTTGTCCACTTTAGCGCGATGCGGTGCCAAAGCCACATCAATACCCTCGCTCTTGGCCGTGATAACGTCCATGCTCTTGACCACGCGTGCGACATCGTCCTCCATAGTAGCAACGTTGTTCTGCATTGTCCATATAAGTACATCGCCCAACGATACATAGTTTCTTGACATTGTCAAAAACCTGCCTCACCTTAATCTTGCGGATCGTGTCCGTAGCAGTAATGAATTTGCTATAGTTCTCGTACACAAGCATCTGCATGTCAGTGTCCAGCTCTTTGATCTCACGTATCAATTTGTCATCAATCGCGAGCAGTTCATTCAGTCCACGTGTTTGCAACAGCTCCTAACACGAACGACAGATTTGGTTTTTAGCTCAGAATCCATTTTGACACATCCATTCTTGACAACCTGGGCGCACCTTGACGTAGACCTGGGCATCAAAACCAGCCGAGTCCATATCTCGATCTTGACCTTTTCTGCTTTCCTGATCATTAAGTCCATAGTAGCTGCTCATCAGCTCCTGCATGCGCGTTAAGCCGTGATCCTCCATCGCTGCAGTCTATCCTGCTTTTAGTGTCAAAAAACGCGATAACAATGAAATTATGACAAGTGCATAATTCGCTCGTTGATTGGTCAAATGTAGTGGATCGACGTCTAAAATAAACCGGATCGCGATCGATCTTTTAGTTTGAACCAGACAGACACTGGCAGGTCCCACCACCACATACAAACAGCCACATAAAAGGACGGCGGCGATCCTAGAGAGCCACGCAACGCCACGATGAACTTGAAGCGACTGCTGTGGGAGTCCAAGCTGGCGGTCGCGCTCTGTCTGCTCATCATGGCGCGATGCGTGGACCGCGTGCTCTACACGTACGTATGACGGTGTGGCGTGCATCGCTAACGGCTCCTTCACCCTTCGCTGCGCTCTGTTTGTTGGATACTTTAGACGGATCACGTACGACTATACGGACTTCCTCTGGTACTTCACAAACGTGATCCTCCCCATCTCTTTCTTGATCTCATCAGCTCCTGTAGTAGCGTACGTCTCTTTCTATCCACACGATCTTGACACGGAGTCAAGTAGCGTTACTAACGCTGCCATGTGCTTTTCAACCAGCTACAAACTCTATTTTACAGGTACGGTCTTGTATTATTGCGATGTATTGGCTGAGGTGGTCCTTCTTGCGCATTGATGGGACATTTATAATTGATGTGTGTATGTTGCTGTAGACGACATTACGCAAGAAATGCGTGATTTCCCGCACTACAAGTACATGCTGATGGCGCTGTTTGACACGCTGTATAACCTGCTTGGCGCGTTCCCCACACCTCATATCGGGTACCTGTTGCTACTGAGTGCTGTGTTTTTTTATGGAGAGTCTTCTGAGTCTTCTTGTGTCGTGCTTGTCGTCATTGACGCGGTTGGATTCGATGCGATCAGAGGGAACATGGCCAACGTGCTGAACCAGTTGAATTTGCCGTTCAATATGCTGCTATCGTACATGTTCTTGCAGACGCGCTTCAAGCGCGGCCATATTCTGGGCTCCATCCTGGTGCTGTACGGTGGGATGGTGAACTTGATTCCTACTCTTACGGGCCAGGACAACGCCAACACACCGGACCCAAGTGCGGGGTGGATCACTTTGTACATCGTGTCACTGGTGCCGGCGGCGGCTTCAAACGTCTATAAGGAGATTGGACTGAAAGACGTGGATCTGGACATATGGTATGCCAACATCTGGATCAGCTTTTATCAGCTTCTCATCGGTGCAGCTACAATTTGGACAGTGCGGATCAAGGCATTCAGCGATCCGCCAGTGCCCTGGACAGACTTCCCATCCTATGTTGTGAAGGCGCACGAGTGTTTCATCGGCAACGAAGTTGAGCTGAACGGCAAGGTGTTAGCGTGTGACGCAGGTGTGATGGAGGTCTTTTTGGTCTTCATCATTTTCAACACAGTCTACAATCAGCTCATGCTGTATATCTTCAAGGAAGGCAGTAGCGTGCTCTTCGTGGTGTCGTCCGCTGTAGGACTCCCCCTCACCGACTTGCTGTACATGATTCCGTTTCTCACGGGCAAGTTTGCTGGCCAGTCATTCACTATCTACGATGGATTCTCGCTTGTCGTACTTGTAATGGGACTGCTGGTTTACCATTCCGAGAAAGAAGAGCGCAAGCGCGGTTCGCAGTCGGTGGAAAAGTCCCCCATGTACGCGTCGCCGTCGTTGCAAAAGACGCATCTCATGCGGAAGCGCCGTGGAAAAGTGGTGTACCGTCAGAGCCCAATGATTCGGCGCACTGGAAGTGGCAGCGAAATCCGACTTTTGGGTCGCAATGCAGCTGGAAAGAACACCTATGGCACGAACAACAGTGCCGCATAATTCATGCAGACGACAACGGGTGACTGGTTCAACATTCTCGGCAACTGAAGTAGGACCCTCTGCTCTTCATGCCGCAGTATTTTTGTGTCAAAGTCGCCCTTGTGTAAATACCGGGCTCTTTGCTCGCTTCTTGCAGCTACTGCCGTAACGTCTTTTTCCAGACCAGCCACTTCGGACGTTGTAAACAAGAAGAAATACGACCGTATGGGACGTAACCATTTCACCTTGTGATGAGATAATTAGTGATGTTGATGCGTGCCTGTCACGACAAGCTAAGTAGTCACTGATCAAGCACAGCTCTTCACGGTTTGCACACACTGTAGCTGTGCTTCACTCCTTCCAAATTGCGAGCTATTGCGTATCTTCGGTTTCCAGCCCGTAAGGTCGTACCTGTAACGGGTTAGCCCGTTACATGATATTGACACCAAACGGTGTCAATAGAGAGATTGTCTGGCGTGACAATTTCCTGTCATACTACCCAAGACAGGTAATATGAAGGAATGTTATCTCCTTGTAGGATAATATTCATGCGCTGCTCAAGGATTGGTTGATATAAGACATATCAACCAAGGTTACCACCAGTCGCTGCTAGACGCGCGTAATGAGTGGTGAGCAGGTTGTCTTCGTACGACAATGTAGATTAATTTAGTTCGATAAAGACTGAAGTTATATTGATAGCTTAACTTTTTTAAATACAGTTCGATTTTTTCCTTTTACTCGGACTAGCTGTTTGAGTAGACTAGCTTCCTCCGCATGTACTAGTGTACATAAAGTTTCGCGGCACACCAAACAAAGGATGCCCCGTTACACCTGGTAGCACTTTGTAGTCCGTCCAATGGCTACTTAGTATCCGTCCAACATGAACATGTTGGACGTAGAAGACGACAGCTTTCACGTCACACGTGAAGGCTACTCCCATCTGAGTGACTCAGAATGGGAGGCAGTCGGTCGCATGAGTGTGCTCATGGGCGAACCCGCCATCAGTGGCATGTCGGAGTCTCTAAGCAGAGACCAGCAACATGCTGCTATCAACAAGTTCCTACAAGGGGAAATTGCCGTCGAAAGACAGAAGATAGCCTTGCTACAACAGTAGGGCTCTCATCAGTCGATGGGCGGGCCGACGCACATGCGTCAACCCGAAACCTTGAAGATAGATATATCAAGGTACAAGGGAACCGATGAAGTTTCCCTTTGAGATGATTCGTCGAGTTAGACGACGCCATCAGGGCCCGTCACATCGAGGGTTACGAGATGCAAGTCACCTTCGCCCTGTCAAATTTGAAAGGACGAGCAAAGACTTGGGCCTTAGGGCTCAAGCTTCACGACCCAAACGTGTTTGAGTCGTTGGAGATCTTGAAGTCTCGACTCATAGAGACGTTTGAGCCGCCACGAGCCGAGTTCAGAGCATGTTCTGCACTCCTGAGGCTCAAGCAAGGTAAGCGTGATGTGCAAGCTTACGCTCAATACCTACGCTACCTTGCGAGTAGCGTTGCGGAAAACGCTGTTGATGAGCACACAATCATCAACGTGTTCATCTACGGCCTTGTAGATGTACCGGAGAAGACCTACATGTTCCGAGAGGACTTCCATACACTGGAAAAGGCAATAGCGTATGCGGAACTAGAAGACTTCAGCCTGAGACAGTCTCAGGCTAACTCTTCAAACTATCGTCCGCCGAGACGACAGGAAACCGGAGGTCCCGAACCAATGGACCTCTGTTACATCGAGAGCGAGAACTCTCGCTCTCTGAGTCACAAGCGAACGGCAATATGTTATCGCTGTAAGAAGATTGGACACTACGCTCATGAGTGTAGCGTTCCAAGCACCGCAACACGTCCAAAGACAGGACGCGATGACCACCGTTGGCCAAGGAAAGGTCCAAGGCGTGGGTCCGACCATGTCGCTAAGCCGCGACAGCAAGTCGGGCCGCCAAAACACGGCCAGGGTCAGTAGGGGAGGAGCACCCTGCTGATCCTGCAACTTCAGGAGAATTTGCAGGACTTTTGACGAAGATTGCGCCCAACAGAGAGTCGCTGTGTGTTACTCCCCCTAGTGATGAGGTGTCCCTCATCACTAGGGGAAGTGATCGAAGTGAAAAGTGGAGTGTCGCTTCGTGCCCTAGTTGACTGTGGGGCGTCGAACAGTTTTATTCGACGCCAGTCACTAAAGGATAGTAGGCTCGACTATGTTGAGCGAGAGTTCCCTCCAACGAGGATGACGGTGTGTCATGCTACAGGCGCATCTGTAACAGTGAACAAACGTGTAGTGGGAATCCACTACACGCTAGAAGGAAAGCAGTATGATAATGACTTCATCGTACTAGATTTGGATGACAAATTTGATTTCATCCTCGGTCTGCCATGGCTTAGAAAGTGCCAGCCATGGGTTAGCTGGCAGCATCGATCCGTGAAGATGCCTGCCGTTTGGCCATCGGATGGCCATCTGATGAACGTCTTGGAGCTTCCACAAGCGTGTGGATGTGCTACGATTGAGTGCGATGGCCTCACTTGTGGTACGGTCGTTATTATTACTGCACAAGATCACAGTGCAGAAGGCCACTACACTGTGGAACCGGCTTCCGGCACCTGTGTAGAGACACAGGCTGCGACGAAGGTTCACCACTCGAAGAGAACGAGTTGACTAGAGCACGGCTGCATACCAAGAAGGGTGCATCCGAGAAGAGAGATTAGTGTTGTTCAGGATGAACAACACGCTGAAGCGAGATCGACTATCAGAGAGTCGATCGTAGAGCAAGCCCGATCGACTGAAAGAGAGTCGATCGAAGAGGACGAGACCGTGATAAGACACGTATTGGAAGAAAGTTCTTGCGTTCCTGAGAGTGATAACTCTTGAGAGAGTTATGTTGAGGGTGTGGATCCCCAGCCACCTGCGGATGTGTTTTCCCTGGATCACCGAGACAGTGAATGTCTTGGTGAATGACGGATCAAGTGTAGGTGCTTATACACTTAATCTTGTTATGCCCCCGAAGTCAGCTTCGGAGGTAGTCAAGTTACCAATGCTAGAATTTAAAAGATTCTTGCGATATCTGCGTAGTGACAAGATCAAGCAGGTCTGCGTACTCGTCACAGACGACGTGTACGTCGCCGGTAGCTACTGAGAACCCGTTCGCTCTCAGCAAACACCGGCACAAGTGTTTGCTGAGAACGAACGGGTTCTCAGTAGCTCATCGAGGGAAGGGAGTGTCCTCGATGAGAAGACTCGGATTGAGCGATACAATCTTTGGGAGTCTTTGAAGACAAATCCTTTACACACGGATTTGATTGAACTCAGGGTTGTTTTCCCTAGATCCGTGCCATGCGAGCTGCCTAAAGACAAAGGCACTCGGTATGAGATCGAACTGAAACCCGGTTCGAAATACTGTGTCATGAAGCAGTGGCCACTTACTCGCGAACAGGTCACAGCGATCGACAAATTCTTTGCCGATCGCTTAGCGGCTGGTCATGTGAGGGAATCAACATCCCCACACAGCTCTCCGACCTTCTGTGTGCGAAAGGCCACAAGAGGGTGGCGGATAGTGCACACATTTAACAAATTGAACGCTGCAACGGTACCGGATCAAACGCGAATATCGAGGAAGGACGTCACCATCGATAATATGGTAAAAAGTACCATCTTTTCGTCCATGGATCTGAAGGTATGGATTCTATCAGATCCTCATGCATGAAAGAGACATCCCGTACACAGCAGTGAGAACCCCCAGTGGTATGCTCTTAGAGTGGCTAGTGATGCCACAGGGGCTAAGTAACGCCCCCTGCAACGTTCAACAGATGTGTTACGAATCTGTTGCGATCGGTGCGCGATTTTGCACCGAGTTACTTCGACGATGTCTTCGTCCATAGCCGGGCTATGGATGGAAAGACGGACGTGGAGGTTCATAGAATCCACGTCCGGAAGGTCCTTACACTAATGCGAGAGCATAAGTTGTTTGCGAACCTCAAGAAGTGTATATTCGCAGAGAACGAAATGCCACTTCTTGGTTGCATCATGGGTAAAAACGGTGTACGCCCTGATCTGGAATAGATCAAGGCGATTAGCGACTGGCCTGTGCCAGTCTACGTCAAGGGACTTCGAAAATTTCTTGGCTTAGCGGCGTACTTGCACAAGTACTCGCGCAACTACGCCGAGATGACCGTATATCTCTCCCGTATCTTAAAGAAAAACGAGAGGTGGTCATGGAGTGCTGAGTGTCAGCACTACTTCGAAGGTATCAAGAAAAAGCTTGATACAATCACCTGTATTGGCGATTGCCGATCAGGACAGACCATTCCATGTGGTCTGTGACGCCAGCGATTTTGCAATCTGCTGCGCGTTAATGTAGTACGAATCAGACGGCGTTGAGCGCGTCGTCTGTTTTCAATCGCTTCAGCTGCAAGCAGCTGAGCGTAACCTTCCAGTGCATGACAAGGAACTCCTTGCCATGAAATATGCACTGGCTAAGTTTCGGGTATATCTCTTAGGACATAGGCCCTTTATCATTTATACCGACCATGCGTCGTTACGCACGGCCGTAAACAGTCCATACCTCTCGCAACGAATGGCAAGGTTGCTGTATTTCTTCGCGGAGTACAACTTCTCCGTCGAGTATAAACCAGGACGACTGAATGTCGTCGTTGATGCTCTTTCGCGTCGGCCCGATTTCGAGCCGACTGCTCAACCCAAAAGTAGGGGTGATCCCACTGTCGCGACACTATCAGTGAGTGTTCCGTCTTCGGGTCTGCTTGAAGACAGGTGAAAAGCATACGCAGAAATGAATCTCTTCTACGATCGATAGATTACTTATCTAATCCATGCAGTCAAACTTGGAAAAGCTTAACGTCTCAATACCGCTCTTCAACCGAACGGTAGTAGGTGTGTGATGGACTGCTGTACTGTACAGCAGTCAACGGTGACACACCTCGTGTCGTCGTTCCTGCTCATGATGATTTACGATTGCGCATCATGTGTGAGTGTCACGATGTCCCAACAAGTGGGCATCGCCGTAGATAAAGGACTTACATCACGGTAAGTGGCCTCAACAGTACGAGTTTGTGCGCAAAAACTTTCACGCTTGCAAATTTTGCCAGCGGGTGAAGCCTAGTACTTCATCCCGTGCACCCCTGCAGCCTCTACCGATTCCAGCAGAGTGCTAGTATCGATGAACTTCGTCTTTGGGTTTATTAAAGACGCTCACAAAAATACTGGTATTCTTGTGTTTGTTGATCGCTTCAGCAATATGGTACATCTTGCACCAGAGTCAATCACTGCCCAGGGCTGTGCTTGTGTCTTCATCGATACTATCTTAAGACTTTACGGGCTACCCCGTGAACTCGTGTCGGACAGGAACCCCCACTTCACAGCGGAGATCTGGCAATACGTGTTCCGTTCACTTGGAACACAGTTCAAGATGTCAACTTCTGATCATTCTGAAGTAGATGGTCCGACGGAACGCGTTAACCGCGTCCTCGAAGAGATACTGTACGTCCACTCGTTTACTAGTTGGAGTGAGCTCTTGCCGATGACAGAATTTGCCAGCAACAACTCGGTGCATGCGTCGACAACGCATACACCGTTCTTCGTGAACCTTCTTCGAGTGTGGCTATAGTTTAGGGGGGGGGTGGACACGTGATGAGCAAGAAACAGATCGGCTTTTGTTCGAGCGACTGGCTATAGTTTAGGGGGGGTGGACAAGTGATGAGTAAGAACCGATCTGGTTCTTACTCATCACGTGTCCACCCCCCCAAACTATAGCCACACTCGAAGAAGGCTGGTAAACGTGGATGGCGTAGGCCATCCACGAAGAACGGTGTATGCGTTGTCGACGCATGCACCGAGTTGTTGCTGGCAAATTCTGTCATCGGCAAGAGCTCACTCCAACTAGTAAACGAGTGGACGTACAGTATCTCTTCGAGGACGCGGTTAACGCGTTCCGTCGGACCATCTACTTCAGAATGATCAGAAGTCGACATCTTGAACTGTGTTCCAAGTGAACGGAACACGTATTGCCAGATCTCCGCTGTGAAGTGGGGGTTCCTGTCCGACACGAGTTCACGGGGTAGCCCGTAAAGTCTTAAGATAGTATCGATGAAGACACAAGCACAGCCCTGGGCAGTGATTGACTCTGGTGCAAGATGTACCATATTGCTGAAGCGATCAACAAACACAAGAATACCAGTATTTTTGTGAGCGTCTTTAATAAACCCAAAGACGAAGTTCATCGATACTAGCACTCTGCTGGAATCGGTAGAGGCTGCAGGGGTGCACGGGATGAAGTACTAGGCTCACCCGCTGGCAAAATTTGCAAGCGTGAAAGTTTTTGCGCACAAACTCGTACTGTTGAGGCCACTTACCGTGATGTAAGTCCTTTATCTACGGCGATGCCCACTTGTTGGGACATCGTGACACTCACACATGATGCGCAATCGTAAATCATCATGAGCAGGAACGACGACACGAGGTGTGTCACCGTTGACTGCTGTACAGTACAGCAGTCCATCACACACCTACTACCGTTCGGTTGAAGAGCGGTATTGAGACGTTAAGCTTTTCCAAGTTTGACTGCATGGATTAGATAAGTAATCTATCGATCGTAGAAGAGATTCATTTCTGCGTATGCTTTTCACCTGTCTTCAAGCAGACCCGAAGACGGAACACTCACTGATAGTGTCGCGACAGTGGGATCACCCCTACTTTTGGGTTGAGCAGTCGGCTCGAAATCGGGCCGACGCGAAAGAGCATCAACGACGACATTCAGTCGTCCTGGTTTATACTCGACGGAGAAGTTGTACTCCGCGAAGAAATACAGCAACCTTGCCATTCGTTGCGAGAGGTATGGACTGTTTACGGCCGTGCGTAACGACGCATGGTCGGTATAAATGATAAAGGGCCTATGTCCTAAGAGATATACCCGAAACTTAGCCAGTGCATATTTCATGGCAAGGAGTTCCTTGTCATGCACTGGAAGGTTACGCTCAGCTGCTTGCAGCTGAAGCGATTGAAAACAGACGACGCGCTCAACGCCGTCTGATTCGTACTACATTAACGCGCAGCAGATTGCAAAATCGCTGGCGTCACAGACCACATGGAATGGTCTGTCCTGATCGGCAATCGCCAATACAGGTGATTGTATCAAGCTTTTCTTGATACCTTCGAAGTAGTGCTGACACTCAGCACTCCATGACCACCTCTCGTTTTTCTTTAAGATACGGGAGAGATATACGGTCATCTCGGCGTAGTTGCGCGAGTACTTGTGCAAGTACGCCGCTAAGCCAAGAAATTTTCGAAGTCCCTTGACGTAGACTGGCACAGGCCAGTCGCTAATCGCCTTGATCTATTCCAGATCAGGGCGTACACCGTTTTTACCCATGATGCAACCAAGAAGTGGCATTTCGTTCTCTGCGAATATACACTTCTTGAGGTTCGCAAACAACTTATGCTCTCGCATTAGTGTAAGGACCTTCCGGACGTGGATTCTATGAACCTCCACGTCCGTCTTTCCATCCATAGCCCGGCTATGGACGAAGACATCGTCGAAGTAACTCGGTGCAAAATCGCGCACCGATCGCAACAGATTCGTAACACATCTGTTGAACGTTGCAGGGGCGTTACTTAGCCCCTGTGGCATCACTAGCCACTCTAAGAGCATACCACTGGGGGTTCTCACTGCTGTGTACGGGATGTCTCTTTCATGCATGAGGATCTGATAGAATCCATACCTTCAGATCCATGGACGAAAAGATGGTACTTTTTACCATATTATCGATGGTGACGTCCTTCCTCGATATTCGCGTTTGATCCGGTACCGTTGCAGCGTTCAATTTGTTAAATGTGTGCACTATCCGCCACCCTCTTGTGGCCTTTCGCACACAGAAGGTCGGAGAGCTGTGTGGGGATGTTGATTCCCTCACATGACCAGCCGCTAAGCGATCGGCAAAGAATTTGTCGATCGCTGTGACCTGTTCGCGAGTAAGTGGCCACTGCTTCATGACACAGTATTTCGAACCGGGTTTCAGTTCGATCTCATACCGAGTGCCTTTGTCTTTAGGCAGCTCGCATGGCACGGATCTAGGGAAAACAACCCTGAGTTCAATCAAATCCGTGTGTAAAGGATTTGTCTTCAAAGACTCCCAAAGATTGTATCGCTCAATCCGAGTCTTCTCATCGAGGACACTCCCTTCCTCGATGAGCTACTGAGAACCCGTTCGTTCTCAGCAAACACTTGTGCCGGTGTTTGCTGAGAGCGAACGGGTTCTCAGTAGCTACCGGCGACGTACACGTCGTCTGTGACGAGTACGCAGACCTGCTTGATCTTGTCACTACGCAGATATCGCAAGAATCTTTTAAATTCTAGCATTGGTAACTTGACTACCTCCGAAGCTGACTTCGGGGGCATAACAAGATTAAGTGTATAAGCACCTACACTTGATCCGTCATTCACCAAGACATTCACTGTCTCGGTGATCCAGGGAAAACACATCCGCAGGTGGCTGGGGATCCACACCCTCAACATAACTCTCTCAAGAGTTATCACTCTCAGGAACGCAAGAACTTTCTTCCAATACGTGTCTTATCACGGTCTCGTCCTCTTCGATCGACTCTCTTTCAGTCGATCGGGCTTGCTCTACGATCGACTCTCTGATAGTCGATCTCGCTTCAGCGTGTTGTTCATCCTGAACAACACTAATCTCTCTTCTCGGATGCACCCTTCTTGGTGTTCATCCGTGTTCCAGTCCACTCGATCTCTTCGATTAGTGAGCCTTCGGCGCAGCCTGTGTCTCTACATGTGCCGGAAGATGGCTCCACAGTGCAGTGGCTTTCTACACTGTGATCTTGTGCAATCGTACTGCCGACCGTACCACAAGTGAGGCCATCGCACTCAATCGTAGCACATCCACACGCTTGTGGAAGCTCCAAGACGTTCATCAGACGACCATTTGATGGCCAAACGGCAGGCATCTTCACGGATCGATGCTGCCAGCTAACCCATGGCTGGCACTTTCTAAGCCATGGCAGACCGAGGATGAAATCAAATTTGTCATCCAAATCTAGTACGATGAAGTCATTATCATACTGCTTTCCTTCTAGCGTGTAGTGGATTCCCACTACACGTTTGTTCACTGTTACAGATGCGCCTGTAGCATGACACACCGTCATCCTCGTTGGAGGGAACTCTCGCTCAACATAGTCGAGCCTACTATCCTTTAGTGACTGGCGTCGAATAAAACTGTTCGACGCCCCACAGTCAACTAGGGCACGAAGCGACACTCCACTTGTCACTTCGATCACTTCCCCTAGTGATGAGGGACACCTCATCACTAGGGGGAGTAACACACAGCGACTCTCTGTTGGGCGCAATCTTCGTCAAAAGTCCTGCAAATTCTCCTGAAGTTGCAGGATCAGCAGGGTGCTCCTCCCCTACTGACCCTGGCCGTGTTTTGGCGGCCCGACTTGCTGTCGCGGCTTAGCGACATGGTCGGACCCACGCCTTGGACCTTTCCTTGGCCAACGGTGGTCATCGCGTCCTGTCTTTGGACGTGTTGCGGTGCTTGGAACGCTACACTCATGAGCGTAGTGTCCAATCTTCTTACAGCGATAACATATTGCCGTTCACTTGTGACTCAGAGAGCGAGAGTTCTCGCTCTCGATGTAACAGAGGTCCATTGGTTCGGGACCTCCGGTTTCCTGTCGTCTCGGCGGACGATAGTTTGAAGAGTTAGCCTGAGACTGTCTCAGGCTGAAGTCTTCTAGTTCCGCATACGCTATTGCCTTTTCCAGTGTATGGAAGTCCTCTCGGAACATGTAGGTCTTCTCCGGTACATCTACAAGGCCGTAGATGAACACGTTGATGAGTGTGTGCTCATCAACAGCGTTTTCCGCAACGCTACTCGCAAGGTAGCGTAGGTATTGAGCGTAAGCTTGCACATCACGCTTACCTTGCTTGAGCCTCAGGAGTGCAGAACATGCTCTGAACTCGGCTCGTGGCGGCTCAAACGTCTCTATGAGTCGAGACTTCAAGATCTCCAACGACTCAAACACGTTTGGGTCGTGAAGCTTGAGCCCTAAGGCCCAAGTCTTTGCTTGTCCTTTCAAATTTGACAGGGCGAAGGTGACTTGCATCTCGTAACCCTCGATGTGACGGGCCCTGATGGCGTCGTCTAACTCGACGAATCATCTCAAAGGGAAACTTCATCGGTTCCCTTGTACCTTGATATATCTATCTTCAAGGTTTCGGGTTGACGCATGTGCGTCGGCCCGCCCATCGACTGATGAGAGCCCTACTGTTGTAGCAAGGCTATCTTCTGTCTTTCGACGGCAATTTCCCCTTGTAGGAACTTGTTGATAGCAGCATGTTGCTGGTCTCTGCTTAGAGACTCCGACATGCCACTGATGGCGGGTTCGCCCATGAGCACACTCATGCGACCGACTGCCTCCCATTCTGAGTCACTCAGATGGGAGTAGCCTTCACGTGTGATGTGAAAGCTGTCGTCTTCTACGTCCAACATGTTCATGTTGGACGGATACTAAGTAGTCATTGGACGGACTACAAAGTGCTACCAGGTGTAACGGGGCATCCTTTGTTTGGTGTGCCGCGAAACTTTATGTACACTAGTACGTGCGGAGGAAGCTAGTCTACTCAAACAGCTAGTCCGAGTAAAAGGAAAAAATCGAACTGTATTTAAAAAAGTTAAGCTATCAATATAACTTCAGTCTTTATCGAACTAAATTAATCTACATTGTCGTACGAAGACAACCTGCTCACCACTCATTACGCGCGTCTAGCAGCGACTGGTGGTAACCTTGGTTGATATGTCTTATATCAACCAATCCTTGAGCAGCGCATGAATATTATCCTACAAGGAGATAACATTCCTTCATATTACCTATCTTGGGTAGTATGACAGGAAATTGTCACGCCAGACAATCTCTCTATTGACACCGTTTGGTGTCAATATCATGTAACGGGCTACCCCCTTACAATTGTCATTCAATTAATTATTCATTTCAAGTGAAGCCTTTGTTTGCTCCAGCGATTTGCTGCCTAAAATCCAGCAATTCTCAATTCGACTGCAGAAATCTATGCTCTTACTGAATGGAGTGGTTTTGCCGCACATTTATTCTGGCAGATGTATCCGCTTGATGAATTTACAAGCAGTGCCACAAAATTGTTTTTATTGGCGGCACCTACGAGACAACGAATACGAACATTCGCTCTTGCAAGTCTTGGGCTTAACGAATGCAAATGTTCTTTGTTTCATTAAGATTCACGAGCGTTAAGACTTTCGTTTAATTTTATAAATAATAAGAGAGATCGATTTAATTTCTCTTGCAGCATCCGTAAATTCTAGTAATTAATCATGAACCAAGCCTCATCGCTCGGGATGCCGTGCGGAGTAGCGGCCGCTCGAAGCCATCATCACCTGTTAATTCTTATTGCAAACCATATTATCACCCGCAACGGAAGAAATCTTATTACAACTCAGCGAGAAGATCTATTTAGATTTCACATCTTACTGGAAGGACGTAGTCCATAAATCATACCGATGGGGGTTTCAAGAAGATCTGGAAGCAGCTGCCTACAACTGAGTCATTTCTCCATCACTCTCATCGAAATGTTAATCAACGTCTGTACTATTAGTATTAAAAAAAGATCAAGAATCTCACAAAAAAAATTACTTTTCAAATCAACGGGTTTTAGTGCCCATACCAACACCAGTACTCCAGATATTCTACCATCCCACAAGCGGAAGGTGTACATCAGATTATAAATATAATGGCCGAACAATACCAGTGGCTTATCCGATATATTTACAAGAGAATTTACTGAGCCGTAAAACGCAGTCGCAAGAATAAAGCAAACGATGGTAAAGGAAACAACACTGATTATCTCGATCGCCTTCGGTAGGTTGTTCAAGATTTCATCGCAAAAGTCCGCGTCACGTCCTTGTGCTCCTTAAGTATCAGTACCTGATAGTTCTTGGCCGCGGAAATTTCAACGGATGCTCTAGTCAGTAGCCTGTGTCTCTACAAAAGTGCCGGAAGCTGTTTCCACAGTGCAGTGGCATTCTACACTGTGATCTTGTGCAGTCGTACTTACGACCGTACCTCAAGTGAGGCCATCGCCGTACTCACTCGTAGTACATCCACACGCTTGTGGACGCTCCAAGACGTTCATCAGACGACCATTTGATGACCAAACGGCAGGAATCTTCACGGATTGATGCTGCCAGTTAACCCATGGCTAGTATTTTCTAAGCCATGGCAGACCGGGGATGACGTCAAATTTGTCATCCAAATCTAGTACGATGAAGTCATCATCGTACTGCTTTCCTTCTAGCGTGTAGTGGATTCCCACTACACGTTTGTTCACGGTTACGGATGCGCCTGTAGCAAGGCACACCGTCATCCTCGTTGGAGGGAACTCTCGCTCAACATAGTTGAGCCTACTATCCTTTAGTGACTGGCGTCGAATAAAGCTGTTCGACGCCACACAGTCAACTAGGGCGCGGAGTGACATTCCACTTGTCACTTCGATATTCAAAGTGATGAGGAACTCCTCATCACTAAGGGCTGCAACACACAGCGACTGTGTGTTGGGAGCAATCTTCGTCAAGAGTCCTGCAAATTCTCTTGACGTTGCTGAATTAGCAGGGTGCTCCGCCCCTACTGACCCTTACATTTTGTGGTGGTCCGACTTAGACCTTTCCTCGGCCAACAGCAGTAATCACGTCCTGTTTTCGGACGTGTTGCAGTGCTCGGGACACTACGCTCATGAGCGTAGTGTCCAATCTTCTGAAAGCGATGGCATCTTGCCGTTCGATTGTGACTTAGAGAGCGAGTGTTCTCGCTCTCGATGTAACAGAAGTCCATTGTTCGGGACCTCCGGTTTTCTGTCGTCTCGTCGGACGATAGTTGGACGAGTTAGCCTGAGACTGTCTCAGGCTGAAGTCTTCTTGTTACGCATACGCTATCTCTCTTTCCAGCGTATGGAAGTCCTCTTAGAACATGTAGGTCTTCACCGGCCCGTCTACAAGGTCGTAGATGAACACGTTGATGAGCGTGTGCTCATCAACAGGGTTCTCCGCAATACTCCTCGCAAGGCAGCGTAGGTATTGTGCGTAAGCATGCACATCACGCTTACCTTGCTTGAGCCTCAGGAGTGCAGAATGTGCTTTGAACTCGGCTCGTGGTAGCTCAAACGTCTCTATGAGTCGAGACTTCAAGACCTCCAACGACTCAAACACGTTTGGGTCGTGAAGCTTGAGCCCTAAGGCCAAGTCTTCGCTCGTCCTGTCAAAGTTGACAGGGCGAAGGTGACTTGCATCTCGTCACCCTCGATGTGACGGGCCCTAATGGCATCGTCTAACTGGACGAACCATCTTAAAAGAGAATCTTCATCGGTTCCCTTGTACCTTTAGATGTCTATCTTCAAGGTTTCGGGTCGACGCGTGTACGTCGGCCCGCCCATCGACTGATGAGAGCCTTGCTGCTGTAGCAAGGCTATCTTCTGTCGTTCGATGGCAATTTCCCCTTGTAAGAACTTGATGATAGCAGCATGTTGCTGGTCTCTGCTTTGAGACTCCAACATGCCACTGATGGCGGGTTCGCCCATGAGCACACTCATGCGACCGACTGCCTCCCATTCTGAGTCACTCAGATGGGAGTAGCCTTCACGTGTGACGTGAAAGCTGTCGTCTTCTACGTCCAACATGAACATGTTGGACGAAAAATAAGTAGTCGTTTGAGGACTACAAAGTGCTACCAGGTGTAACGGGGCACCCTTTTTTGGGATTCCACGAAACTTCACGTACACTAGTACGTGCATAGGAAGCTAGTCTTCTCAAACAGCTAGTCTAAGTTAAAGGTAAAAATTGAACTGCATTTAAAAAAGTTAAGCTATCAATATAACTTCAGTCTTTATCGAACTAAATTAATCTACATTGTCGTATGAAGACAACCTGCTCACCACTCATTGCGCGCGTCTAGCAGCGATTGGTGGCAATATATGGTTGATATGTCTTTATCAACCAATCTTTGAGCAGCGCATGAATATTTTCGTAAAAAGGGCATTATTTTACTTCAATACTATCTATCTCGAGTAATATTGGCAGGAGATTGTCACGCTAGACAATCTCTCTTTTGACACCGTTCGGTGTCAACACCATGTAACGGATTACCTTGATATAGGCAGTCAATCCTGCACGCTTGTTTTAAAATCGCAAAATTTGGGTTATTTCTCGTCGTCTCAAGTATTGCATGGAAGACCTTATTTCGTATTTTTAGCCTTAAGCCACTCCTAAATTATCAGCTTCAAGATTTTTTGTTACGGGATTACACGTACGATTGTGATAGCCAGGTAAATTGGTGTGGTACACACAGAAAGAGATCAGGTTTCATGATAAAACGTACTTTTGTTTCACATTTTTGAGCGATAATACTGCATCCTATCGGTCATGATTAAAGGATATCTATCGTTGTAAGGTCCTCATAGCGGCAAATATTTCAGTTGTGGTACACACGAATTAATACGATAAGGACTATTCGATTGAATAGAATAGTGTTTGGGGTTTCAAGACGCAAGTAAGGTCAATTTTCGATAAAAACCACTTTGTAAATTCATTTCCTGTAGCGGAGGTACTTGACGCTCCTTAACAGAGGAAGTCTTAGACTCAAAGAGTCTCTCAGTTGTAACAAAATATTTACAACGTGCAGTGTTCAAAGGTACAAGATTTACAATCCCGGGTAAAAAGGGATCACGATTCACAAAATTACACAATAACTAGTCACTACTAGTTAAATAGGAATAAGCGCCTTTAAAAGGATAATTCTCTTAAACACACTACGCCGATTCAAGACGCTTGTGTTCAACGATTGAAAAGGGTAACTAAACTTTATATATTCTTTAGCTACGGTAAAAAAACCATAAAACTTGTCTGACTTCCACATAATAGATTTTACCCATCAAGCCTAATGGGGTAAAACACCTACAGGATTGGCTCTAATTACGATCCTATGACAGAATCCCATCGCTTATCCCTAACCGATAAGGTGCGGTATTACCGTAACTACACATTTCAATAATGTACCACACAGATCCACCGATCTTTACTTAGTGTAGA